AAATAATAGATCGTAAAAGACCCAGCTAACTCTTCTAGATATAATTCTCTTTGCCAAATTTTTAAGGATTAAAGTTAAATAAAGTGGAGAGAGGTGCTTCAAAAATCTCATTATATCTTTCTTAATTTTTAAATTGAGATCTTAGTCCATCATGTTAAAGTATCAATGATAATAAAAGATTTTTGCGATAGGTTATAAGATGGTAGCTAAATTCTTTAATGATTGAATTTATGAGATAGATAATTATTCTGCTTAGATGGCAAAATTTCTCCTACTCAAACAATTCTGCTATTTATAAATCTTAAGAAATGAGCTATTTGAGAGTTAAAATGGCAAGGGTTATGAGCCCAATAATACTGATAGGATAATATCCGATAGTGACCTGAAGGATTAGTTGGATAATCAATAATTCAACTTGAAATACTTTATGAAGAAATAAAATCTTATTCAGATAACTGGAATAGCATTTTAAATAATTAAAAGTAATTTACAATTCAATATGCCCTGAACAAAATTAAGAACAGGAAAGCAGAGATTGACTTGGAGATTATTGAAGTGAATACTTAGTGGATTTAGGTGAAATAATCGGTGGATGAAGCCTATATGAAGTAGAAATACTTGTCGTAAGAGTTGAAGGAAATTATGACCTGGCAGATCATAACAAAACTTTGATAATATTTCCACTCGCCCTGAATGGGCATGCCAGAAATATTCATAAAAATTAATTAATTTAATGATTTGAGTTTTTATGGCTACTTATTATTTTGATTATTTCCCCTTAATTTTGTCAAAGCAGATAATCAATGTGCAAAGGACTCTGTAAAGTTAACCTAATAACATATATAAATTGAAGTTGGCTATGCTATTTTCGATTTGATCTTAATAGCATTCTTCACAAGTAGTTTCTTTGTAGTTTTATTGAACTCTTCCATTCTTTATATCTCTTCAGTATTTTGATATTTTTAATTGCATCAAAAAAACCTCTTAATTGATCAAATGCGTTAGAAAAATAATTTCTACAATGCATAGGAGATTTATTCAATCAATAAACTTGAAAAATATAACTATTCAGTCTACATTGGATAAAGTAATGGATCAATCTAGAGTGTTATGCTTAAACCTATAGCTTTGATGGCTTCAACCCTACAATAGGACAATCGAATAAATGCTTTAAACATACACTGCATAGAGAAGCATTCAAACTGATGGGAGAAGACAATCTACAATTGCTCATGTATAAAAATTCTATACTCAAAGAAGCTATACAAAATTGGAAGGAAGGAGGTTTGAGAAATTTTTTTGTGTCAATAGTTTTCATATAAGATAAAGACTTATCTGATTATAAAAATTTGGATAGCAATTATAGGAATTTTAAGTGACAAATAGTAAGGAATTCAATTTCCTATGATTATATGGTGATGTTGAAATAGGAGAATGTCCTATGATCTCCTTGTTCAGAAAATGTTAATGACTTGATTTTGGCTAGCAAATGATTAATTATATTTAGGGTGTGATTGTTAGTCTTGAGCATCAACAAATAAGATTCTAAGTGATATATCAAAATTAGTTCAACCTATCTTAAAGGTTATTAAAAATTCTTGATTACTGGAAACTACAAATTTTTAGGTTATAACATTTTTCAAGTAATAAGTTTGCAATAGCGAAATCTTAATATAAGTAGCCATTTTATGAGATAATTGAGAGGTGATATTACAGTATCCATTAGTCATATATTGATTTGGATTAATCAAACTGTTATGAATGCCAAATCAATAGCATATATGATTGCCATTATTGAGAATTTTTTAAAAGTTGATTAAATATATGAATTTCTTAATTTATTTAATTAACATTCTCATAGAATTCAATCTTTTATTCATAGTATTTAGTTCATTTGCTGTCAGAATTGTTTCTATTAAAACAAATTTGGCATGATTTCAATGGCAAAAATTAAGGGTGCTTACAATAAAGGCAGCCAAATATCATTATAAATATAATCTTTATATCATAATTGATGTTTATTTATAATTGCCTTGTTCTAATTATTATCATAGAAGATTTTAAAAATGATTGAACATTATAATCAATTAATAAATAATTCATATATATTGTATTTCTGTTCCACTTTATTCCAAGTTACTAAATATTTTCCATCATTAGTTAATGCTCCCTAAATAGAATTTGATTCATATTTTATCTATGTGATTATTTTTAATTATCCGCCATTTAATATTTTGATAAAATAAAGGTAACATTTGTGCTTTACAATCATTATGTTCTTTTTTTCATCATACATGATTGGAGCCAGATTGATATCACTAATTAAATTATTTTTAATTAATTTGATTTCCTATAACAAATTTTCTTGATAGTTTTAGTTCTACAATTCAAATGTGCAGATGCAATCTTTGCTTACTTAATTACCAGTCACCCATATAAATTATTTATCATTTATGAAGCATAATCTGCATCCAAATTCATCAATCAATTGTGTAACTACGCATCCAAATTACCATATTTGGTGACTGTCTTTCTTCCAAATAATTATTTATTTATCACCACCACAAGAAATCAAAGTATCTTCCGATTCATTAAAGCATAAACTATAGACATTATTTGTATGTTTATTTAATGAATAAAGATAAGTTAATTCGTTATCCGTAAAATTTATTTTCCAAATTTTAATTGATTTATCTAGTCCTCCTGATACAAGTTAATTTTCAGCTTGATCCATTATTAAGCAATCTATACAATCAGTATGCTCGGTATAGGGTAAGGAACTCTTCCATTCTTTTTAATTAATCTATTCCCAACATCTCATTGATTTATCATGACCTGCTGATAAGAAGCTATTGCTATTCTTACTAAATTATAGGCAACATATTGTGTTAGTATGTCCATTAAATTTACTGATTTCATTTAGCTTTCCTAAATCAAAGCTCCATAGTTTAATGTTAGAATTAGAAGCTGAAATCATTAGTGATCCAGATTAATTAAAAGCCATTGCATAACATATTTCTTGTTATTTAATTGAATTATCAATTAATTTCATATGATGGATTAGATTCAAATTGATCAATATTTTTTCACATTAGGAATATAATTTTTCGTTTCTGAGAACTGATATTGCCGAATTTATTTTATTTGAAAATGAATTATTAAGTGATTTTATCTAATCTATAATAGAACCTTTATCAAATGAGTTCTGCATTTTATTTTCGATTATCACATCTAATTCATCGTAGAAACTATATTTTGAGTCCCTTTATCCAAAAAGATTAAGATTATTTATCCACTCTGTCGAATTAGCCATTAATTCATCAAATTATTAAATAATTTTTGACTGTAATTTACGCAGCTCAGTCACAAATTATTCGACCAAATCCACATCAACTTTAATTAAACTTTAGATATTTTCTGCTTTATTCTTTTAGTTTTCTTCAATCAATTAAAGTACTTTTTTAAATCCAATTATTTTAGTCTCTGCCTCTATATTTTCCATGCAAATTGCACATAATAAACGTTCCTCTCTCTTTAAGTTTTTATCTAATAATACCATAAGGATAGGTTGTTTATGGTTTTGGCTACAATTGAATTATTCTTCTAATTCTATCATTTTTGATTAAAACATAATTAATAAATTATTTAATTCGATTTTATGTTCATTCACAAAAACATTAAATATGTAATATAAACTTATTTATTTGAAGTGACGAATTTTAATTTATCTCACTACATTTGACTGAATCAATTAAATCAAATACAATAATAAATTACAGTTAGCAATCAAAAATTCACTATTCAACAACGCGATATAAATTATCTAGAATTTCTTTTTTACAATATTGAATGTCACTAAAACATTAGACATTTCGTTTTATTCATACTATTAATTAAATAGTTTAAAGCAGTGCTGCAGAAATCTTAAGATATTGTTCATTGTTTCATTATCCTTTAAAGTAGCAACTAATTATTGTTTAAATAAAATCGTAAATAGGAGAATCATGTATTCTAAATATAAATTTCAAATCTATTCATTTTTCTTAGGCTTAATTTCATCCATTGTCAGAAGAGTTAAATTATTACCTATTTTTAAGTTTGGTACTTTATTCCCAAATATGTTAAATCAGATATTAATAATACACATGAATATATCACAAAAATTAACTTCAAGCATATTCTAATATTTTAAATACATCTCAAATAATAAGCTTCTATTACTCTAAATATTTATGTTGGTGAAATTGTTTTGTTTGATAGAGATATCAAAATCCAGCGTGAATATAAATTATGGCTATGAAAAAAAAAGTCCCACCCAAGGGAGATCTCTTCAAGAAGTGAACATTTGAGTTTTTGAAAATCTTTGGTACGATAGAAGGCATAAATAGGGAGTTTTCCTAACTAGTCCAACCTTATATGGCAACACTAAAGGAACTCCTCGAGTAGGCTAAATATATCTAATTAAAATGTACCTAATTAGTGAGTATTTAAGCTTAAAACATCAGCTACTTAGAGGCTGTTAGAATTAAATTGAAAATATCGCTTATGAATAGAGGGGTCAATTAACCTAGAGAAAATTAATCTTATGGTTCATCCTTTAATAACTTACTATCATTTAAATGTTATCCTTTTTTGAAGTTTTCTCATCATAAAGAATCCTTAGTTTAAATGCTATAAATAATTTAAAATTGAATATATTTCAAGTAAAGGTTTTGATAATTAATATAACATAATGAAAAGAATCCAACAGCCCAAGAGTTGCTGTCTTACTTTATAACTATTTTTATAGTTTAAAAGCTTCAGCCATCTTTAGGTACTTGGCAACATTATAGAGTTGTATAAATTCTATAATCTTAAAGAAAGAAAAACTTATCTTCAGCATTGCCATTCGAAGTTTTAAAAAGTATAAAAAGTTTCAAATTCGATACCAATTGAAACTCGCTTGAGTGGTCAAGCTATTTATTTTATTAATGCCAAAAATGAAATATTACTTAATCCTTGAATTCTCTCTAAAGTTCTGTTGAATAAGTGATTTATTTCAAGATTTTAGGATTGATTAATCTAGTTTAACTTAAGAATTAATGTATGTACCTGCTATAAATTATTAAAATCCAATATTTAAAGTTTAAAAAAAAAATTAACAATTGAGCTTTCTTATTTTCAAATAAGCGCTTAAAAAGTGATACTTTTAATAGATGTCTTTTAATCAATATCATACCACTTTTTTCCTTCACACGTCGCCCAAATTAAACCTGCTCCTTCAAATTTTGTATTGGTTAATTAGGCATGAATATTTTCTCATTGTATTAGATTATTTCTATTTAACATAGAATCAAGATTCTCTTGTTATGCTATTATTTGCATTGATCTTACAAACCCTACTTTCTTTCAAAGCCATAGAATTACAAATTATTACTTTTTACCTTTAACTTCATGTTTGTTAAAATAAATAGTATGATTGGAGCTACTAAAATCCAGTTTAAGGATTCAGAGATGCAAAATTAGATCCAATTAACAATCTTGCAAACTAACTTAGGATTAAGAGTAAAGAACTCTATATTTCTAGTTGAATTGGTTAAATATTGAGAGTTTAATTAGATTAATATCTTAAATTAATATACTTATTCTTAGCTACACTTTATTTTTTTTATTCAAAATTATTTCAAACAGAAAAAAACTATCGAAAATCAATTCAAATAGCAATCAATTAATTTAAACTTATTGGGTACTAAATATTTTTTTAAAGTTAATAGATTCATTCTTAGAGTATAGTTGAAACTTGTAAATATTTTTTTATAGGTGTTATAAAACCTGCCTAACATGTTCAGGTGAAAGTAAGGATCAATGCTTAACTTGTTATGATAGTATTCAACTGAACACTGATGGTTCATGCAATTCTTGTAAGAATATACCTAATAATTCGTTTCTATAAATTCCGTAAGGTTGTAAAGAAAAATGTGTTGATAATTATGGTTATGATGATGATTAAATATGCAATGAAGAAATGTGTAAGATTTTTATTATTATTTTGAGATATTTAAAGTTCTTGCGAAGAAGATTGTGAATTTTGTACAAATATATAAAGTTGCCTGGTTTGCAAACCTTTGAAATATCTCCATTTTTGGAAATGCATAGATGGTTGCCCAAATTATACGAAAACATATTAATATTATTGTTTAAACCCCTTTGATGTATTAAGCAAATACAATATCAAGATACAACTATTAGTAAAACAATTTCATGATCTATCAACAAGCAACAACTGGATAACGTAACAATTTTATAAATAAGAGTCTAATGGTTAACATAATTTTTAAAAGGTGATGGAATTTATTTTAGCTATCTTTCAAATAAAAGAATCTTTGGAGGGTATTACTTCAACCCATAAGACAATTTATGTAAAACAATCTGCGGAGACTTTATTTTACAGGGCAACGAGTAAAGCGATGATGGTAACTAAGATAATTATGATGGTTGTTCGAATTGTTAATTAATCTAATATGAAAATGCGATAATGCTTTGGAAATTGAGAAGCATGGCTGTTCTGTCTGCTACTATGGTAAATGCATAAAGTGTAATGAGGGTTTTATATTAGATAATGATACATGCATATAAATTTGTGGAGATGGACTACTTAATTTAGAAAAAGAAGAATGCGATAGTCCAAATGATTAAGGATGCATAGATTGCAAAATATAGAATGGATATGTTTGCGGTATATTAAATTATTCTACATGCTACACTTGTGATAATGAATGCACTCAATGTTCAAGAACAAATAAAATTGATTTGATTTGCAAGTCATGCATAGATGGATATTATCCAGATAAAGAAAAGTGTTATAAGTGTGATTCAAACTGCATTAAATAGTTTATATACATCGTGTTTTAAGGAAGATTGTGATTTTTGTGAATCAATTTCTGGCCTAATTTCAGATCCAAAATAAAAACGATGTATTTCTATTTGTGGTGACGGGATTTTGGTTGAAACATACGAGTAATGTGATGATAACAACTTAATTAATGGAGATGGTTGCGATTCCATGTGTAATTTAGAATTTACAGATAATGATCTTGATCAGATAACAAATTATCAATTCTAAGGAAACAATTCTTATGATTTGAAGATAAATTCTTATTATCAGTTCTATCTTTTATGCAATACCTCAAATATCACTAATGATAATTTCGATGTTTAAGATTTTAATTACTCCTCAACTTAAATCGATAATTCCACTTGCAGATTATCATTTGGTTTCAAAAAGTCCATCCTTTAAATCAATAAGATTCATGCAATATTATAGTACTCGTCCTCATACTCTAATAATAGATTGCTTTTAGAAGATTATAAATAGATTCAATTTCATGTAACTCCGACTGAATCAATTGTTTTAAATGAAGATTAAATAAAGTAATAAGAGTTGATAAAAAGTGCTCAATAATAATTTAGTTTATTGTTTTTAAGTTTGATACAATCTCTATAATTACTAATCTATTTCATTATTTGTGGGTAGTTCTATAAATATTGAGTTGGATCAACAATTTCTACTTTNTCTATCAACAAGCAACAACTGGATAACGTAACAATTTTATAAATAAGAGTCTAATGGTTAACATAATTTTTAAAAGGTGATGGAATTTATTTTAGCTATCTTTCAAATAAAAGAATCTTTGGAGGGTATTACTTCAACCCATAAGACAATTTATGTAAAACAATCTGCGGAGACTTTATTTTACAGGGCAACGAGTAAAGCGATGATGGTAACTAAGATAATTATGATGGTTGTTCGAATTGTTAATTAATCTAATATGAAAAATGCGATAATGCTTTGGAAATTGAGAAGCATGGCTGTTCTGTCTGCTACTATGGTAAATGCATAAAGTGTAATGAGGGTTTTATATTAGATAATGATACATGCATATAAATTTGTGGAGATGGACTACTTAATTTAGAAAAAGAAGAATGTGATAGTCCAAATGATTAAGGATGCATAGATTGCAAAATATAGAATGGATATGTTTGCGGTATATTAAATTATTCTACATGCTAAACGTGTGATAATGAATGCACTCAATGTTCAAGAACAAATAAAATTGATTTGATTTGCAAGTCATGCATAGATGGATATTATCCAGATAAAGAAAAGTGTTATAAGTGTGATTCAAACTGCATCACTTGTGAATTACAATCTAGTTTATGTACATCATGTTTTAGGGAAGATTGTGATTTTTGTGAATCAATTTCTGGCCTAATTTCAGATTCAAAAAAAAAACGATGTATATCTATTTGTGGTGACGGAATTTTGGTTGAAACATACGAGTAATGTGATGATAACAACTTAATTAATGGAGATGGTTGCGATTCCATGTGTAATTTAGAATTTACAGATAATGATCTTGATCAGATAACAAATTATCAATTCTAAGGAAACAATTCTTATGATTTGAAGATAAATTCTTATTATCAGTTCTATCTTTTATGCAATACCTCAAATATCACTATTGATAATTTCGATGTTTAAGATTTTAATTACTCCTCAATTTAAATCGATAATTCCACTTGCAGATTATCATTTGGTTTCAAAAAGTCCATTCTTTAAATCAATAAGATTCATGCAATATTATAGTACTCGTCCTCATACTCTAATAATAGATTGCTTTTAGATGATTATAAATAGATTCAATTTCAACTAACTCCGACTGAATCAATTGTTTTAAATGAAGATTAAATAAAGTAATAAGAGTTGATAAAAAGTGCTCAATAATAATTTAGTTTATTGTTTTTAAGTTTGATACAATCTCTATAATTACTAATCTATTTCATTATTTGTGGGTAGTTCTATAAATATTGAGTTGGATCAACAATTTCTACTTTCTTAATGTTACTTTTCCTTTTAATGTGGAAATACTCTTTTTAAATAGTAATTGGTCCTCTTTCATAAGCATACCAACATATTAAGGATTAAATCAACCAGGTTGTAATTATCATTTTGAGGCTCCTAAAAGATTTAGGGATAAAAGCATAGACCCGCTATTTTTTAATAACATACAAATTCCTATTCAATAAATTATTTAGTATGTTTATTCTTTCTTTGCTTAATAATTTCTTCAAACAACATATATCTTTAAAGAATAAACACATCAGTATTTTTAATATTCAATTTCGAAAATAAATTCGCTAAAATTCAATCAAAGCAATTTAACAACAAGTAGTAGAAAATCAATATCTAAAAGTTATTACAACTACTTTGAAATCAAGTTTAATTCACTAATCAATTGAAATCTACGATATCCTTGTGTTTGCTAGATATTACCCTTGCAATTTCACTTTAATTAACATTTTCAAATAACTCAACCAACTTAATAATAGGTTTAAATCAGTTTTTTGCAATAATAGCAATTACCATTATAATTTTTTAATTATTTTAAAAATACTAAATAATAAATATTCATAAGCTTAAGGCTAAAAATAAGTAGTTTGAGCATAAATATGGAATTTATAGTCTAAATAACTTTATTAAATTTATTATGAAAATATTAATATTGAAAAATAATTTGGGTATTATTATCAACTTTTAGGATAAATCAGCAAGATTTTATATATCTTTTTTATGGTTAATTAGTATTATACTCTTCTTAATCAAGTAACTTTATCTTATCTCTCAAGCTCTTTTGGATTTATTTTCCTATTATATGAAAATCCTTTTGATTCCAAAAAGGAATTTATGATTCAATTGATATCTAACTTTTGTTTAAGCTCAATTATATTAATCATAATTCTATTTGCTATTAATGACCACAAAACAATTTGGATTATTGAAAAAAATAAAATTATTTTAGGTTGGTTGATTATTTCTCTGGATCCCTTAGCAATATTAGTTGAGATTAGCGTTTTGGTTTTTGGGCTACTCATTTACTTCTATAAAATTTATCAAGTAATATATGATAAACTAAAGAAATTTTTTGTTAAGAAGGAGAAAAATCAGAACTAAGAATAATTAAACTAAACCAAATTAAAAACCCAAAAAAATACAACTCATTAAGAATCCTCGTTATTTAAACAAAGAATTAGTATTTTTCTATTGTGTAATTTTGAGTATTATATTAAAAAATATAATCTATCAAAAAATTACAATAAAATCAAAAATCCATAAATTAAATTTGTTTCCATTTTTATTTTTGAGTTATGATATATATCTACCAATATGATTAAATAATTCAAAAAATAATAATGTCTATTCCAACTAAAAATCAGAAATAGATATATATTTATTATTTGCATTAAAATATCTCATTTAATAAATATTTATTTTGATATTGTTGAAATAAAAAACAAATAAAATAAAATTAAGCTTTGAAGTTCAGACTGGACTTTCATTTTCAAAAATATTATGCTTCTATTCAGATGTTTAGAATTGAATTTCACCTACGTATAATTATCATCTTTCTATTTACTTCAATTCATTTATTCAATTTTAAATTTGATTTATCTAAGATTATAAAGTTCAGATTGGGATTAAATTTGAAATTAAATTATTTATTTATAATTGAATCATTGGAAATTTATAAACTTTATTCCATTTTTCGTAATTTATTTTGTTAGTTGCATTAGTTTTTTAGCATTGTTTTGGAGATTGGTTTTGATATATAGGTTTTTATAATATTATCAACCAAGTTTTTAAATTTGATTTATTCTCACTCAGTATTTACTTTTTAATTCAAATAATCCATGAAGGTTAATAATATTTCTATTGATTATATTTTTTAACTCATTTCACCTTTTTTATTCATAAAGTATTTTCATTTTTGCTTTCAATTCTTAATTTCTATATACTTTTCCTACTTTCATTGACAATTAGTTTTTAATTTCTCGAATGCATATATGGGTTGACAATTTTAAATGGATAAAAATTTAAAGATTTTTCTATTTAAGGCACTCAAAATTGCTTCTCTAATGTAATTTATAATCATATACATGACTTATTTAGATTTTGATCAACTTATTAGTTCTAATGCTAGCCTTAAGAAATAAGTAGTTACTCCAAGTTTTACTAAATTACTACCCTTATTTTTAATTATGAAATAGTAAAAAACAACAATTATTATTGACGTTATTCTAAATTATGACCAAAATCTACATTGAGTATAAAAGAGTTAATATTTAAAAAAAATGATATTTGTATAATCATTTTATTTATAACTTCTGAAATACCGGAGATGCTTGTTAAGAAGCTAATTTAATCTAATATAGTCTAATTTGTTGCTCGATTCGTTCACAGTCTGTTTCTTTAAAAAGCCGTTATTTGCATTTGAATTCTTTTTCTATTGTCCCGTTAATACATTTAACTTATTCGTGAGTTCTTTTATAGAATTTCATATATCTATTTCGATCAAATAAAGTATTTAGCAGCTTTAATTAGCTACAATACCGTGTAATGATATTTTACTCCACATCATCTCTTTTGATTCCAATATAGTGGCATAGTTTAAGTTTATGTAATTTCCTATCTAACTCTGAAGCATATTGCACGGCTACCCAATCTTCTTAATGTACTTCTTTGTTGATAAACAATACTCATCTCCTGGTCCTACTTATACTGGTGAAACTTGCTGATGCTTTTGTGCTATTAATGCCAAGTCTCATTCATATGAAAGTTTAAAGCACGTACTATAAAGTTGTGTAGCTTGGAATGATGACTCTGGTTCTGTATCATAGCTATGTTTAAGAACTTTTTAACACCTAAGTGATGCTGATGACTTACTTAAAGATTTTTACGATGGATGCTTAATCCATCCCAACCATCTTAAATATTTATCCTTGCAATATATAGATTCATTTGTCTCAGAACTCTTTGATATTTGTTTGATATAATCAGATGTAATATCTAATTTTTATATGCCGTGCAGTTCTTTTATACATCTTTTAGCTTTGTTTCACGTTCACTAGAGGACCTTTGTTAAACTGTATCTGTTTTTTAAAACCTTAATCAAACTCTATTAAGTTGTATTTCGTAACCAAATTATATATAATCAATTCAATTAATACAATACACCATTTACTCATGGGAATTTAAATTTATAGTGAATTATTTCTAATAAAATAAAGTATCTACAGATTTTAAATACAATGAAATAGTTTTAATCGAATATATATAATTCACTATAATAAGTACTTAATTGTGTAAAAAGCTATCTTTGTTTAATTTTGTTAATCTAAATTTATTTACTTCTTTTTATTGAATTTGATATACTATCAACGGTTATAATTCAATACTTCTAATTTTCTGGATCCACTACTTTAGTAGACAAATGGGATTCATCTTCTTTTTACACTGATTATAAAGCACTGCTGGGTTTTTCCTACTATAATCATAGGATAGAAGCTCTTTTATTCTTTTGCAGATTAGATTCTCAATAAAGCAATATGGCATATTGATAATTAAAAATTAATATATAACTTTTTTTAATTTGCATATCAAGGCCAACAGATATAGCTCCAGAAACACAAAAATGAAACTCCTTGAGACACATAAAGTAAAACATTACCCTCGAGAGTAGTTCAATGATTCCAGAGTCTTGTGTAAATACTATATGAAAATTCCGAAAAAGACTTAAGGAATAAAATAAATATGGGTGTTATTCCTAGGAAAAATATGAGGGAGAGGATGAAGATAAGATTGAGAGGAGATTTTCAAGAAGCATGAAGAATTGATAACTAGAGAATAAATCTCAGTGTTGAACAAGAAAAATAATGGAAGAATTGTTGAAGGAAATGAAGATCTAACCTATAGATGATGATAGATGGGCAAATTCAAGGTTTTAGAGAAATTAGATGTGACTAAGTGTTGATAATGGAAATATTTATAAATCTTTTTCAAATAAAGATAGAATAAATTGTCAGAAAATACCAGAATGCACAGTCAGACTTAAACAGACCATCAATACTTCGCCGTGAGTGATATAACCAACTTTACTCTATTAGATCCGCAGTGGTAATTCATAAATTTGATGAGTTCCTGAGCAGTAACCCTATGATCCTAAATTTGGATCAGACTATAATTTTTTTTTTAAATAAAGATACATTTCTTGGAGAAAGTGAGCAAGTTCTTATCAAAGGTATTAGCGTTCTACATCATAAATGAAAAATACACACAATTTTACAGAAAAAGTTCTTAAAAGTATTTTTTAGTCATAAATGTATTTCTACACCATTTTATAGTAAGTCCTCAATAGTTGAAGAGTAAGCTAGTTGAATTTGAGATGATTATAATTTCTTTCGTAATTATTATTAATCATGTCTCTAGCAAAAATCAAAATACAAACATAGTTTTTTGAGATAAGATTATCTCAATCATTAGTAATAAGGTCATAAACATTCAACATTGCATGATTAGGTGAACTAGGGATTCTTTGGATGCTGAATGTCTTATCAGCACGTTATCGAAAAGGGAATAAGGAGGATTCCATTTTAAATACATTTTTCATAGGATGATAAATACAAAGAGAAGGAGAGAGTATGGAAGAGCTTCTCTTTAGAAGATTGATGTCCTCTTGAATGGATAGGAAGGAGAGAACATACAGGATAAATGAAGTTTTAAAGATGAAGAAAAGAGATAATAGAATAGGTTTGATGCCTCTATACATATGTAATAATAAGGGTCTTGAGTAATTTCATAGGACAATAGATGCAGGATTTCTTGAAGCCCTATTTTAAGCTAAAGTGGGAATAATTCCTAAAAGCTTGGACGTCTACTCAAGATGAAAGTGAGAAAAAGAGAACATTACCATTAATTAAATCAAGGACAAGATTGTTCAAAACTTGAATTTTATAGGAAGAGATTATTGAAGACAA